GCTTGGGGACATTATGAAACTTGTCCAGAGTCACACAGCCTGTAAAAGGGCACAGCCAAGACTCAGAGCCAGCTTGGAGAAATGAAAATGAACAAACTATGGCAAAGTTTTAGGAGAAAGAAAGACGTTTCAGTTCCAGATGCCAGTCGTCCACGTCAGGGGCAGACAGACGCAGAAGGGGTTCGTACTGGAAAATGTCCCTTCCCAGTGGAGGACCGTGGCCCGCAGAAGTCAGTGAGTCAAGAGGAATGCACATGGGTGAAGATACTGTGGCAAGACTGAAAGCTGAAAGGCGGTTCTTCCAAGGCTTCTTCAGAACAACCGGAAAGAGAGCAAGGAAGGCGGTCGCGCGGGTATGAGCAGGAGGACGCAGAGTTGTGAATGAAGAAACTACAGGCCTCACAGTTGAGCAAATGATAGAAACAGTTTCTCCTGTGTCCCAGATGTGACTTCTGAGAGAGCCTTTGCTGACATAAGTCGAGACAGTACTGCTGGGCGCTGGCTCTGTCCTCGCTTTCTGGCCGTCAAGGACTGGGCAGAGGGCTGAGCCCGGCTGTCGGCTCTGCCTTTGCAGCCTGTTTAGGACTGAAGCAGAAGTGGGAGAAGGAATATGGAGTGACTGCTACTTTTGATGCCAGTTACGAGAGAAGGGTCATTCCGTGTCACAGCAGCCATTGAGCAAGTGGTAAGAGAGGAGATTATGAAACAAATCCAAGATGCCAAGAAAGTGCCAGAAGTAGGAGGGGAAGCAGAGTACCAGCTCCCCGTGCTCATGGATCCCTATGGCCTTCAGCATGCCCTCCCAGGAGCCCTTCTCTGCCCCAAGGACAGAACCTGTCACAGTGAGTGGTAGCATCACAATCTCTTGCCTTTCAATCCAGGACACTGACCCAGCCTCCACGTGCCTGCTGCTAAGCTAATCCAAGCAGCATACTAACCCCTAACCCCTCTCCCACCAACCCTTTCTCTAGGGATTTAGAGAGGACATTTGAAATTGAGCTTTAAGCAGTCTCTATGGTTTCTGTATTTTGCCTGCACTTAGGCAAGGGCAGGGGCAGAGGTCAAAGGAGCAAAAGGAACTTTGTGTTCCCAATCATTATACTTTTCACTAATCCCAAAGGTCCCAAAGAGCATGTCCAGGCAGAATTCTTTGGGAGGTGATTTTGAGAAGAATGGGGAAAAAAACCCATTCCTAGAGAAGAGCTGTTTTGCAGTTAGGCTAAAGAAGTCAAGGAAATGTTGCCCTCTATTCCCTTCTGACTCCCGTAGCCCGTTAGAAATCTCTGACAACAGAGAGGCAGAAGTATCTGAACCGGAATCTGTATTTGAAGCATATTTACTAGAATGTAAAACAGTATGGGAAGCAAAATGATCTCCCTTTGTTTTTCAAGCCATTGACCTGCCACTTCTCAGTACTGGCCTGTCTTAGAGGTCAAGAACATGGTGGCCTGTGCTTGGTTTGGGGACAAGGTGCAGGCTATGCAAAATTCCCAGGAGGGCAAACCATAGCCCAGCAGAGCTACATTTGAGGGGTAAAGTTGAGCTTCCACTTTGAGTAAGAATAAATATTAAAAATATTTATCAAAAAAGCCAAAATCCTTATTTTTATGCATTAAGAATATTTTAAATCGTTCGCAATATTAAAAAGTTGTAGGAGTTGTAAGTACTCTTGTTAAAGGTAAAAGGGTTAGCCATAAGGAATTGTCCATAAGATTGATTTATCAGAGATGCCTACTGAAGTAGGAAAGGCTGGGACTTGGAGATGGGATTCCTAGCTTATTTGGAATCATTCATTTTAAGTAGCACATTGCAGCAACAATCATGCCTATGACCAAAAGAGCCACAAGGTTGGACCTTCAAAGAAAATCAGGGGCGCCTGTTTGGCGAAGTTGGTTGACCAGCTGCCTCTTGGTTTCTGTTCAGGTTGTGACCTCAGGGTGGTGAGATTGAGCCCCATGTTAGGCTCCATGTTGGGTGTGGAGTCTGCTTGATATTCTTTCTCACTCTTCCTCTGCCTCTCCTACTCATGCACTCTCTAAAATCTTAAAAAGAAGAAGAAAAACAAAAAGAAGAAAGAAAATAAAAAAGCAGTATTATCCTGGTTTTAAAACCTGGGATGAAATTCTGATATCGTTATTTGAACAGAATCAATCCATAGAGAATATGTATTTTCCTTATATACTGCTGCAGTTTCCTTCTGTTAATCCTCTAACACTGAGATGACAAGGACAATCAGTAGACTGGAGAGCAGATTACTGTTGGATTGTCCTGTGAGTCTTGGTAGGTTTTTGCTTTGCCCTTCGGATTTTGTCCCCACAAGTTTTGTGAGGATGGAGATTCTAGTTTTATTAGCTGCGTGTGCATCCATCCCCCGACTTGTGGAGAACATCGTCTTGCCAGTTGCAGCCCCTGGACCTCTGCTAACTGGAGATCCCATCTCGTTTTTACTTTTGAATATTGGTCTTACAAGCAAATGTATCCTATATTTATTTCTACTGATGAGAATTTATGATCTGCTAGGACAGAAACAAATGTTTGTGGTAGAAAAAAAAGACATGAACCAGTGTTAATTTTTTAAAAATCTTTTTTGGGGGTAACCAAATGTTAAAAACTACCCTAAAACTTCAATTGTGATAATCTACAATTATCATCAGGATGTGACTGCGAAAGTTGACCAGGGAGGCACTAGCAAAATGTTAGCTTCATCTTTTCAAGGTTAGCTATAATTTGGAAACCGCAGGAATTTCATCCTTCAATTCGGGACAAGAATTTATATCGAAGAGGGGCTCCCAATTATTCTTTTGGCTCACGGGTGAAAAAAAAAAGGTTATTGCAGGTAATCTATTTTGATTTTTCCAAGTGAAGGGCAGTAATTTGAGGACCCAATAGACTTCTTAATTTGACCGCCGTGAGTAGTTCGTAGCGGAGCAAAGCTTTGCTTCTGTCAAGTATTGACCTTTGCTGGTCACTGACCTATAACTGCGTTATCAGCACATCAGGACTCCAGGGCCTTCCGAGCCAGGGCCGTGTGATTCAGCGAGCGGCAAACGTGCAGAGGTACCCTGTCCGTATTTTCCTAAGGCGGTGAGCCACAGAGGGGGCCAGGTCTGTGGTCCCGGCGGATCCCAACAGAAACCGCCTCCCGACATAGGGGACGAATTCGCGGGTCACAACGGCCACGCGCGCTCCAACGGCCCCTCTGACCTTCCCCAAAGCTTGCGGCCAGCCCGCCCTGCCAGCGCACGTGGCGAGGTGGGGACAGAACCACGTGGGACCAGCGCAAGACCCTCTCGGCAGCAGCACCCCGCTGACACTCCAGGCGCTGGCGGTCACTCGTCAGCTGGTCGCTGCAAGATCCTGCGGGAGGTTAAACGTCTATCGCCGCAGACGGTGACGCTGGGATCTTCCCCCGACCTTCCAACGTGCACTTTCTCCCCTCCCCCCCCCGCCCCCGCCTTCGCCTACTCCCCGCCCGCACCCCAGACCTATCCGAGGGGCCGGCTCAGACCCCGGAAGAGCGATTCCATCCGGGTGCTTTGTCCGAGAGCGAGGAGGGCGTGGCTTTGTGACGACGGCGCGGGGAGGAGCGAGGAGCCAACTCCGGAGCTGGGACAGCCTGCGGGAGGGGGTGGCGGGCGTACGGGCTGTCCCTTGCCACGCCCCGTGGGCGCTCCATACTGCCCGAGAGGGGAGTCTCTAGCTTCAAACTGCCTTCTGAGGCGGGAATTTCAACTAAGAAGTCTGGTGTCTAAGGCTCCCCCCTTTCTAAGTCTCTTCATACGCTCTCCCCCTGCCCGTCTCTCCTCTCTGCTTGACTGGCACGAAACACTCTCCGCCTCCAGCCTTCCCTCCCCCTCGCTGGGAGCAGGTGGTGGCGGCCCGCGCGCCGCGCAGCCGCAGAGAGCACTGGGCGGTGCCGCGGAGGGGCGTGTGACGCAGCGGCCGTCGCTGCCATTTTAAGTTGTTTGTTCTTGCTTCCTTTCCCAAACACGACTCTGCCCCGGACCCGGGAGGCGCCCGAGGCCGCCGCCGTTTCCGCAGCCAGCGGTTGGTGGGAACGAGGCTGTGCCACCGCGGACGCTCACCCTCCGCTTCGGCTTTTGCCCCTCCGGGTCTCCTCGACCTTCCTTCTTGAGAGCCGGAACCCGACCGTGGGGGGGAAGAAAGACTCGAGAGCAGATGCTTGAACTGAAATAACTTTATTTTGGGGGGTTTGCTTCGCTGACAGACCCCTTAGCGCAGGGCTCCCCTCCCCTTCCTCCCCTCCCCCTCCGCCGCCAGTACCATTCCTACCCCTCTTTCTCCTCGTTTCTTCTCCTCCTCTCTCTCTCGCCTCCGCCGCCGCCGCCGCGTCCTTCCCTCCGCCGCCGCCCGGGGCGCCGAGCCAGACTATGGGTCCCAGGTGGGGGCTGAGCGGCGGCAGCAGCGCGGGCGGCCCGGTCACAGTGCGCACTGCAGAGGGGATGGAGGGGCTCAGTTGGCTGGTGGTTTTCTCTTGACATGGCTCCTGCCCGTGCTGCGAGCAGCGCCCCCGCCGCCGCCTCCTTTTCTGCCGCCGCCACCGCTCCGCCCGCAGGCTGCGGCTAGAGGGCCCGAACCCCGCCCGAGAGTCGGTCAGTGAGTCCCGGTCTCCGCGGGGACAGGGAGGGGATTTCCCCGTCACCCGCCCCCGCCCCAGCTGCCTCAGTTCCATCCCCTGCCCCCTCGGGAAGCACACTAATGACCCCACCCTAAACTATCCAAACTCGGGAAACATGGTCTGTTCAACGTGAGAGCGAGCTAATCCGGAATCCGGGAATTTAAGGGTTTTTTTTGGGGGGGTGGGCTGGGCATACTCTCAAAAAGTAATTAATATTAACACAACTATTTTCTTTTCTTCCTACTGGTCCTTCCCATTTACCCTCTCCCGCCTACTCTACCCGGGCGGGAATTGTTTCCACGATGAAATGAGTGAAAACCCGAGTGATCCTGTGTCTCCCGTGGTGCGAGTGAGTCGCTGCCGCTGAAGGCAAAGGGTGGGGGTGGGACCTGGGGGGTGGAAGGCAGGTGGTCCCTGGGCACTGCCTGGGATCCGGGAGAAGAACCCGCCACCTTTGCCTCAGCAATGCTCGCAGGAAGATAAGTCGCACTCCCCACGATCTTGAACGGGGGCAGATTCCTAGGGAAGGCTCCCTTGGGGAATGTAGGACTCACTGCAGGGCTGAGGGTGTTGGGATCCCGGGCATTAATCAGGTCTAACCACAGAGCCGGAATAATAATTATATCGTATTATATACCCCCTTTCTCTCTGCCATCATGATTTTCCATGGCAGCAGCATTAGCAGCCGCCTGAGGGTGAAAATGTGGGTGATGGGGAAGTTGGTAATGACTCCGCTGTTTTTTCTCATGGCTCCTTTGGGCAACAGCTGTCCGCCCCCGGTATACACTGTAGTTGATTGCAGGGAAACCCTGTACCTCTCCCCTTCCTTCTCTACCGATTTTGCACTTTTCTCTTTGCTCACCACCAAGTGTAATCAATAACAAGCACTGACAGTACATAGCAATAGTGAAATCTGAAATAACTTAAGAATTAATTAGGTACTACGGCCATGGATCTGGCTGGGTAAAATCCAATTGGATATTTCAGTTTCATTCACCTACCCTGTTTGGTGTTTTGGGGGGTTTGGGGGTTTTTCTTTTTCCCTCTTTCTTTGTAATTTTTTTTTTTTTTTAAATTTTGGTATTTGGAAAGCAGGGATCATCACGCTTCCCCTTTCCCGTTCCTTCTCATAATCCCTTCTCTAAAGAGGGGTGGGGGGGATAAATCCATATGGATTTTAAGGATTGGACTGGTGTTAGCTGTGTTTTATTGCACACCTAAATCCTGATAATAGGCTTTTCATTTCCCCCCAAAGCCTTTATTTTGGCATTTAAGCCAGATGTGTTTTCCAAAAAGTTAGTTCCAAGTATTTTCTCCTCTCTTTCTTTCCTTCCTCCCCTTCCTTTTTCCCATAACCCCAAACGTTATTGTCCAAACATGACTGGACAGCAGCTTTTGTTTCTTGACCCTGTAATATGACAGTCTGCTAATATTGCCAGGAGGTGCAGTTTTTGGGTTACAGTCGTGATTTTTAGCTATTCAATCATATTAGCAGGAAAAAAAATGACTTGTTTCTGTTGTACTTGAGTCTTAAGAAAAAGTGCCCATAGTTTAGTGACAATTTCCAAAGGCTTTAGTACCACCTGTATTTCAAAATGGGGGACCCAAACTCCCGGAAGAAACAAGCTCTGAACAGACTACGTGCTCAGCTTAGAAAGAAAAAAGAATCTCTAGCTGACCAGTTTGACTTCAAGATGTATATTGCCTTTGTATTCAAGGAGAAGGTAATTTAAAATTCTTAATGTGAATTAGCACAAGTGATTTTTGTAAGTGTATATTAAGTTATTTGTTACCCGTAAAATAACTGCCCATTAGGTTAAAGAGTGGTTGACAGAAGTCTACATGTGTGGTTTAACCTGAACCCTCCCTGGTAGTTCTCTGCATGTGTAGTTGTGGTATGACTACAAAGGGAAGGCTCCAGTGCTCCTTGGTTTGGAAATACTCTGTAAAGCTCGGTAGGGTCCTTTTTTAGGTGACCTGGGGTGAGCAACGTTGTAAAACTCTCATGTAATGTTTCACAAGAAATTTCATTTATGTGGAGTTACATAGAGGACATATAGCTGAATTTAAAGACTGTCTATAAAGTGGGATATTTGAAAGTGGTGAATTGGAATCAAAATGTTCACATGCTAAAAGTAAATAGTCTGTTCAGCTTCATGCTAAAAATACCTTTTCTCGTGGTACATTAGATGAACTACAGTACTGTTAATTTTTAGGAACAGTTACATACTGAAATGGTTTATTTGTGTTTAGAAGTGCAATTTATTAAAATACAAAAGGACCTGAAGAGGAAATTTAAATTTTGAGGGGGGCTGGCGAACATAATCAGAATTAATTCCACAATTAAATAGCAAGTAATGAGTTGTGAGTAGTCACAGAGGACATGATAAATGCAGTATATTTATATATATATATTATATAAATGATAAAAGCAGTATATTTCAACGATCTCTCTTTGACGTGAGATTAGGTTATGAATATAAGGAAATACTACTTTGATTTTTGCACCTAGGTTGTGAGCTAATTTCAGGTTAGACATATATTCTTGGTGTGGTATGTACTTAATGTTTGGAAGTTTCCCGAGTATTTATCCCACTTTAACTCTTTTGGAGGTTATTAGTACAGGCGTACCTCGGTTTTACTGTGTGTGCTCCGTGGATATTTTTGTGGCAACCCTGGGTTGACTAAGTCCATCAGTGTCATTTTCCAACAGCATTTGCTCAGTTTATGTCTCTCTGCCACATTTTGGTAATTCTTGAAATGTGTTAGACTTTTCATTAATGTATTTGTTACAGTGACCCATGATCAGTTATTACAACTTACTGAAATCATGGTGGTTAACAGTTTTTAGCATTATTTTTCAATTAAGATATGTATATCATTTTTTTTGGACATAATGCTTATTGCACACTTAATAAACTACAGTGTAGGGTAAACATACTTTGAATATGCACTGGGAAACCAAAAAATTAATTCAGCTCCCTGTGAGACTTGCTTTATTGCTGTGGTCTGGAACTGAACTTGTGGTATCTCCAGGGTATGCCTGTATCTAAGAATGCTCTTAGCAGCTTGAATAGAGCATTGTAAAGGAGTTTCAGGCTGGTTTGTTTTAAAATCATTGTTCCAAGAGTGGATAGTACAGGGAATTTATTTCTCCATTTTGTCGTCTTGTTAATATGTTAACTGCAGGATTGATACGATCAGGTTTTAATTGAAGATATTACAATGTAAGTTCACTAGAAATCCAAGACCGAGGTGGTGAGATGAGTTCTTTATATTAAATACCCCAAGTTGTACTGTCTAGTTCTTTAACACTGTAAAGCCCGGGTTTTACTCCATGAATAGACAGTATGCAGGCAATTGTGCTGAGTAGTTCATGAGTTTTATAACCTAAATTGATGAGCACTTGGTCACAAGTAAATTTGAAACTCAATTTGGTAGACTTTTTTTTTCTTGTTTCATATATTGACAGTTGTTATATAGTATCTAAAAGGAGTTTAACTCCTTTTAAGGAGTTAAAAAACGTTTAATTTATAAAGCTTTGTTTTTTAACTGCTGAGATTTTAATTTAGCTGTATGTAGAATCAGTTAAATGAAAGTACATCAAGAGTAAATCCCTTTTTTTTTAAACAGGTATGTCTAGTGTTTGTTTCTCATAGTGTTTAAGAGACATTGTTCATAATGAGTTACCTGTTACGGATACTGTAATACTATAAAACCATATAGTAAAACATTCTGATAATAGCCTGTTTGTGTGTGGTTGGGGTAATGGGGCTCAGGGAAGTAAGAGGATCCACTTATTTGAAAATCTATACAAAAATTAACTTAGTTAATAATTTTTCTGAGTTAGTATAAAAGTACCTGATGTAATATGAACTGGGTGTTAAAAGACAATGTGCTATTGGTGGGTTAATACACCTTTCCCCCCCCTTTTAGAAGAAAAAATCAGCACTTTTTGAAGTGTCTGAGGTTATACCAGTTATGACAAATAATTACGAAGAAAATATCCTGAAAGGTGTGCGAGACTCCAGCTACTCCTTGGAAAGTTCCGTAGAGCTTTTACAGAAGGACGTGGTACAGCTCCATGCTCCTCGATACCAGTCTATGAGAAGGGTAAGTTCCATTTTTCAGTCTTGATTTGGTAAGTTTTTGTGAGTTAAACTTGCTCCTCCCCCCCCCCCCAAAGTATGGGTAGTTACTATGGTCACAGGTCTCTTTAAAAGTTGACTTCAAGGGCGCCTGGGTGGCTCAGTGGGTTAAGCCGCTGCCTTCGGCTCAGGTCATGGTCTCCGGGGTCCTGGGATCGAGTCCCGCATCGGGCTCTCTGCTCAGCAGGGGGCCTGCTTCTCTCTCTCTCTCTCTCTCTCTCTCTCTCTCTCTCTGCCTGCCTCTCTGTCTACTTGTGATCTCTCTCTTCTGTCAAATCAATAAATAAAATCTTAAAGAAAAAAAAAAAAAGTTGACTTCAAAATCTTGGGGCGCCTGGGTGTCCCAGCAGTTTAAGCCTCTGCCTTCGCCTCAGGTCATGATCTCAGGGTCCTGGGATCGAGCCCGACATAGGGCGCTCTGCTCAACGGGGAACCTGCTTCCCCCTCTCTCTCAGCTTGCCTCTCTGCCTGCTTGTGATCTCTGTCTGTCAAATAAATAAATAAATAATCTTAAAAAAAAAAAAAAAGTTGGCTTCAAGGGCACCTGGTGGCTCAGTCTGTTAAGCAGCTGCCTTCTAAATGTTTTTACTTAAAAAAAAGTTGAGTTCAGATAAAACATGGATAATTTTTCCTCTGTGGTATTATGCTGATAATGGTGTTTGTTATTGCTGGGAATAATATTTTATATTACTGTTCATTAGATTTTTCTTTTGGGGGGAGAGAACTAACATCATGCTTCTTATAAATAAGAAGCTTAAAGTGGAAGGAATTATTGTTCCCAGCTTTAGAAACTTCTGTAACTCATTGAAAGTTAAAATGAACATACTTGAACAAGACATCCCCATAATTACTGGGATTGGGGAAGGCTGGAGATAACCATGTACTGGGCTGAAAGAGGTTTATTAACCTTTGAAAATTAATACACTGGACTAGGGTAATAAGGAATAAGAGTGGAAAAATAGTTTTCTGTATTAATAAAAATAGCAATTCAGCTGTAATAAGAATGTGAGTAATATTAGAAGACCCCTTTGCTTCAATATTAACTAGGTTCTGATTCGAAGAATGGAAATAAAAATACAGGGACTTCACAAGAAAAAAAATCAGCTTTAGTTGTAGTTTTCACCATGTGCTGATTAATTTAGGTCTTAGTGTGAGGAATATTGGACTGGGTGACTATAGGTGGACCCTACAGGATAAAAATTAGAATCAGACCATGAGCTATTCAGATTATATATATACTGTCCTATTACCTTTTGGCATATAAAATGATACATAGTGGAGCTTTTGTACTTTTGAAATATTTCTATAGTCAGACCTATAATTCATGACATGTCTTGTTACAGCTTTGTTTCTTTGTTTCTTTGAAAGTAATTTTTTTTTTTTTTAATTCTTTTTGTAGGATGTAATTGGCTGTACTCAGGAGATGGATTTCATTCTTTGGCCTCGGAATGATATTGAAAAAATTGTCTGTCTCCTGTTTTCTAGGTGGAAGGAATCTGATGAGCCTTTTAGGCCTGTCCAGGTATTTTATTCTAAGTGTGGTACGCACTAAGTGAGTAAAAACTCCTGGGATAAAAAGCAAACAAAAAACTCCTGGGATAGGGCCTAATTTAAGAAAAATTTTGGGAATATTCATTATTCTAATCAGTTTTACTTCATGAGTTGCTCCCATCTGTTTGACTATTGTGCTACAAGAGGAGAAGGCATTGGGGGACAGAATCTCTTGAGAATGAGCATGTCTTTAAAATAATGGCCAGAGAAAATATTTCGGGGTAGATGTTTGTTGATTTGTAGAGGGGCCTATGAATAAAACTGAGAAGATCTCTCCCCTGTACCATACACACTCCCGAAATAATATACGTAACCATCCGGCTCTCAGAGGAGTCTAGTCTAAGGAATGGCTTAAGAAACCCTTTTCTGGGGGCACCAGGTTGGCGCAGTCACTTAAGGTTGTGATCCTCCAGGGTCCTGGGATCGAGTTCTGCATGGGACTCCCTGTTTAGCAAGGAGTCTGCTTCAGACCTTCCCCCCCATTCGTGTTCATTCTCTCTCGGCTCTCAAATGAATAAAATCTTCAAAAAAGAAAGAAATAAGTAAAGAAACCCTTTTCCAGGGGTGCCTGGGTGGCTCAGTCGGTTAAGTGTCTGCTTCTTCCTCTCCTTCTGTCCCTCTCCCATTCATTCTCTCCCCCCCCCAAAATAAATAAAATCTTTTAAAAAAGAATTTTCCAAAAGTAGATTTGTGTATAAAACTATACAGGATAGAAGTAAATCGGGTAGTGGTTCTTAAGTAATCTTCATTGACATTGACTTCTGACTTGTCATTTGATGTATTAGACAGTTTCCAGTTTTTAAGAGCATACGCCCAGTATGGGCGTATGCTTTTAAAATGATCCTCAATTTATTTATAATACTTTATTTGTATAGGAGAAAGTACTGTAATATCCACCAAAATGTTAGTTATGGTTAGTTCTAGGTCAGGTGTAGCTAATTTTTCTTTTTTGTTCTGTGTGTATGTAGATATGTACATCTATATTTCATAACTCTACAGTAATGATACTTTTGTTTATAATCGGAAACCTAAATAAAGACCTTTAAAGATTAACTTTAAGCATACTATACTACATATTAGAATGCCTGTTTTAGGCTAATTGCTTAGAAACACGAAAGTTACTGAAAAAATTTTGTGTTCATGTGTTACTGTGAACCATCTTTACGGTGTTTTTGAGTATGATAGACAAGTTGGTATACTCCCCATGGTAATGTTCCTACACATCGCTCAAATTAGTGTTCCTCCTCCTAAGACTCACTTGACAGAAATAAGTTCTAAAGAGAACATATAGCCTGAATAGAGGTGAAAGTACTTTATATTTATATCTGTCTTCAGTGGGCACTATCTGGCTCACGTGAACTTGCTGGAGAATGGAAGTTGGATATAAAAAGCAAGAAGGCAGGAATGGTAAGGAATGTTTATGGCTGCCAGGGCACGTCTTGCGTCACAAGTGTAACTGCTCTCCAGAGGCACTCTTAGGATTTTTATTATTATTATTTTTTAATTCCGAAATCTCCATTGGAAAGATTTTGGTCCATTACTCATTGTATTTTTTAAAATTTCTAATACTCTGTCCTTCTGAGACATTTGGGATAGTATAATAGTATAATAGTCTTGTCTCAAGTTAAGTTCTAACTTTTGAAATCATGGCTGCTTATTGAGTGTTGCCTGTGCTAGGCTATCTCCTGAATACCTTATATACATTTAATCTTAATCCTTTTAAGAATTATGTAGACAGGAACCTCCTTTTCCAAAGGAAAAAACTGAGGCAGAGTTTAGGTAAATAGCCCAAGGTCATGCAGGTAAGTGGAGGTCAAGACATAAATCCTGTAAAGCTTGTGCTCTTAATTTGTGGGAAGTGCTTTGTATTATGAAAGCCTTAAATTACGGGTGGAATGTAAGCACTATGTAGGATAGAGGTAATATGGTGTAATTTTATAGTTCAGCTATAGGAAACCAGTTCAGTGTAAAAGATGAATTTACTTCCCCAGTAATTTAAAATAAATGAGTATCCTGAATGAGAGGCTTGAAATATAAATAATTTAGTTCTTAAGGCAAGTGAGAAAAGGAAAAGTAAACTTTAACTTGAAAACTTTTTTTTTGGTCTTGAAGCACCTGAAATGAGATTTAGTAGGAACCACAGTAAAGGTTGTTTTTCAATAATGAGTTTGTGCTATATTCAGGGTTATTAGGGAGTACTGGGAGGTGGTATTAAAATATCTCTTATTTCCTCTGTATCCCTAAATGCTCTTGGCTACAAATTAGTTTTTCATCACACTATTCAAATATTTTGTTATTCTGGGCGTTGCTTTCATGCCACTTGAATTAAGAGTTTTCTTTTTGGTGTACTATTCCTTCCCGAATCTTTGTATATTCACTAGGGAGACAGAGCAGGAGCCAGGGTGAAGAGTGACGGACAAGTAGATTCACCGATGAGCACAGAGCAGAGCCCAACGCTGGGGCTGGATCCCAGGACCCTGAGATCGTGATCTGAGCCAAAGTCAGATGCTTAACCAACAGAGCCACCTGGGACCCCCTGCAGTATTTGACTTTGACACAGTAGCGTTATGTTGGTTCTGTTCCAGGAATGGCGTTTCCCAAATTACCTTTTCTTAGTGTTTTTCCCAGGGAAAATTACTGTCTTCTTTCAAGGCCTAATCCAAAATCACCTGCTAATACTGCCCATAGTGTCCACTGTGTTTGTTATTTCTCCCTTCTTCACATAGCACTTTGAAGATACTGCATTTCAGGGTTTTACAAATAATGACATCTTATTCTAGGAAAGATCCGAAGCAAGTTAGGTTTTATATTTGCATGTGCTTGTCCTTTTGGCCAATATAAGAGCCCCTTAAGGGTGGGATAACCTTATTCATATTTTTTATTATTTAATAATATTCCTTTCATATACTAAGAGTGCAATAAATATCTGTGCAAAGGTATAGTTGAATATCGTATTTACACAATTGTATGTAGGGATAGTGTATCTTACCTTATGGCATATAAGAAAAGTTGGGTGTTAAAATTCTAGATAGCAGGAACTGATGATTTTTCTATATTAGTATTTATTGTGGTCTTTGAAATAATGGGAGAATAAAAATGGAATCATATGGATGGTCTTTTTTTTTTTTTTTAAATGATTCAACAATTCTTAAAGAATTGTTATTCTTTAAGAGTTCTTTAAGAGTTGTTTCTTGAATTCCCCAGTAGTCTAGTCCTACCCAGCATTTGGTCTCCGCAGACATTTTGTGGGAGGATAGAGTTGATCTTCCTTATGTTAAAAGAGTAAAAGAGTGTTCTGATTTGGTAACAGTTCTTCATAACTTAATTTTTTTAACCTGAAAAATGTGCATAACATTTTTAAAAAATTCGAGGGGTTCATATATCCTCAACCCCATCTCTGTGAGGACTGGAACTGTATTTCAGGTGTGGGCTTTAAAGCCCACTGTTGCTTTCCATTAACTGTTCTGATGGGTTATAACCCATTTATTTTATAGGAGAGGAAGCTGAAGTTTAGAAAAGTTAGGGGATATGTACAAGGTCACATAAGTAGTAAGATGGACAGCTAAGATCCATAGTGGGTGTTCTTTGTAAATAGAAAGGAAGCAGATGTTACTGGCTTAATTAAAGTACTAAGTTGGGAGTCTCGAGCCAAATAGGCTTGAAAAGTGGTTTTAGGGACGTCTGGGTGGCTCAGTTGGTTAATAATCCAGCCCTTTATTTCAGCTCAAGTCTCAGCGGGGCATCTGCTTGAGATATTCTCTCCCTCCCTTCCTATCCCCCCAACCTCCCTCCCCCACCTCTGTATGTGCACTCTGTCTCCTTCTCTAAAACAAAAACATTTTATAGAATGGCGTAAAATCATTGAGAATTAGGATCAGTTTTTCTTGGTCAAATTCTATAATTAAGTGGTATTCAGTAGAACTTTCTGTGATGAAGGAATACATCCCAATAGACTGTTCAGAATGGTGGCCACTGGCCACATGGGATTATTGAGCATTTGAAATGTGGCTAGAGTTACTGAAGAATTCAATTTTAAATTACGTTTAGTGAATTAAATTTCTGTAGGCACTGTTGGCTGCCATGTTGGACAACATATGGATGCAGGATGCTTCAGGTGGGATAAGGTTTTTGTAGTTACATGTAAATGTATTTCTGCCTTAGGCCAAATTTGAGTTTCATCACGGTGACTATGAAAAACAGTTTCTGCATGTACTGAGCCGCAAGGACAAGACTGGAATTGTTGTCAACAACCCTAACCAGTCGGTGTTTCTCTTCATTGACAGACAGCACTTGCAGGTAAGCCTTGTTTAACTACTTAACAACTTGTTTGAAAAGCTTATTTGTTAGCAAACTATTTTCTGTATATGTTAATTCTGTTTTGCCACTTCAGCACTGCATTAATTTAGAAGTTATTTAAAAATCAAATAGATATCCTGGGCGTCACCCTAGAACAGTGGTTCCCAAGTTTTGCTGCATAGTAGAACTACCTGGGAGCTTCTAAATGTCATGATTCTGATGAGCAGTAGAGTTTAAAAAATGCCCCTGTAGAGCTTTTCTGATGTACAGTATGGTCAGCAGATCATAACAGATTCTTAAATAGGTAGACTCTCGTGCCCTACTCCAGTCCTGCTCGGTCAGAGAATCAGTATTTTGAACAAAATCCTTAGATGGGTAATAGCACATTGTATTTTGAGAAGGTTTGGCCCTAGACCTTTTAAATATGAAAATCTAAAGGAATGAAGTATGTCTGTGTTTAGAAGATCCACGTGTGTTTTAAGTAAGCACTTCCAGTTTAAGCAACCCAGGCATTCCAGATTATTTTTTATTCTCAAGAACGTTTTTTCGTTATTATAAACTTGAATATTCTTACTTAGAATTTATAACAGATACCTTGTTATTTAACCTTAAAAATAGCATTTTAATTATCATTCATTCAACAAAGGAGTGCCTACTTACTGTGCCTGGCGCTGTACAGCAGTGAAGAAGATAGAAATCCTGTCCACGTGGATTCCTGCTCCATTGTGGGGGAGGCAGTAGGGCAGAACAGTATGTAATCGGTGAGCGCTCAGAGGAAATGGGTGTGATGGTGTAAGCTGTTGTGTGTGAACCCTGATGGTGCCACCAGAGGAGGCCTCTATGAAGAGGAGTTGATGTAAAGGCTTTTAGAAGAGTATTTGTGATGCTAATTTTGCTCCCCCGCCTTTTTTTTAAGATTTTACTTATTTGTTTGAAAGAGAGCAGGAACAGGGAGAAGGGCAGAGGGAGAGGGAGAAACAAACTCCCCGCTGAGCTGGGAGCCTGACATGGGGGCTGATCCCAGGACCCTGAGATCATGAGCTAAGTCAAAGGCAGATAGATGCTTAACCAACGGAGCCACCCAGGTGTCCCTAATTTTGCATTTTAGAGCATGGGTTTATTTTTACTTAAGAGAATGCAAGGTAGTAAGAAAATACAAAGGTGAATCATACTGTTGTGTTCAAAGGGCTGAGGACCACTGGGCAAGATTACACACTGATTTTATCTTGTATCTTAACAAGACTGTATCTTGTAAGGAAATGTTAAGTAAATATGATGTTATTAGGTACAAATAAGAGCTGTGGGAATTACAGAAGAAAGTTGACTTCAGTTGGGGGCATTTCATAAAACAAAAACCATGACTTGGTTGGGTTTGGGGGTTCTCTTTTCCATTTCTTCTTTACTTAGCTTTCTTAAAGGTGGATATTTTTAAGTGGCTTTGTTTTTCATTTGTAACTACTTGTGTAATTTGAGTGATTTATTGAGATAACACTGTATAGCCAGCTATTGACTTACATTATGGAATCCACAGCAAAGACTTGGAGTCTTAGAAGATTTAATAATGACTGTATACTAATGTAGAGACTTCATTTTCCTACAGATACATAGATCAATAATACATAGAAATGACTGGTGACATGAAGGAGTTACTTTGTTTAAATAAGTAGTAAGTTGTCTTTTGTTTATACCTAGGTCAGATGTTTTCTGTGCTTTATGAAGCAAATAGCTTCAGTCCTTTTAATGAAAAGAAAATTGTAAGCTCATAAACTAAATTTGCATTGTAGGTAGGGTGACCAGCAGTCTCTCTGTCTGGAATGCCCTGGTTTTTGCACTGATGTCCCAAGTCCGAAAAACCTCAATCCCCAGGGCAAAGTGGGATGGCTGGTGTCACTTTTATTGTAGATGCATTTGGTCTTCAGTGCTCTTAGGTCCCCCTTTCAGGTTCTTCTCTTGATCTTCGTAAACTGGAGATGTTGCTGTACTCATGCTATATAAGGAGGGAAATGATAGAGTAGCCAGCCCAGAGCCTGCTACGTACCTGAGGCAAAGAGCTTTACAAGTAGGAGCTCACTTAATCCTCACAACATGTGAGCTGTAGGTTTTATTACTCCCTGTTTCATAGGTGAGGAAATCAGGAAACTAAAGAACCTGATCTAGATCATCTAGCAGAGATCTCGTGCCCTTTATCGTAACACAAGATGAGTGAAGAGAGCTAGACCAGATAATTTTGGTGGGCACGTGGGTAGACAGGCACATTGCTGGAGTCTGGATTCTAATCCACGTGCAGACTTCTACTGGCTCTGAAATCTAGGACCAGTAACTTCTGTGAGCATGTTCTTTGTTGAGTAAATGATATGTAAGGTTGTCAGAACATTGAAAATGAAAAAAAAATGTGCATAATGTATCAGTTCATTACATATATAGACTGCTTTTGCCTTTTTTTAAAGAGGTGCTGTGGTGGAAAGAAATACTTTGAAGGTGGATCTGGGGATAGCTTCCATTTACTAGCATGCTGTGCTATAAGTCAGATGTGAAATAGTAATGTAATATCTTCGCTTTCTTCCAGTCCTTTATTCCAGGTTATGCTTCATTTTTTTCTTTGCTGCCTGTTTCATACTGTTTCGTTCACTTCTACCCTGACCACATTTGTTGTCTTTTCTGTAAATAAACATCACTTCACACCTCTGTTTGGATCAGTCTCTGTGAAATGCCTTTAAACCTTTCTTTCCATTAGCAAGTTGTCCATGGTTGACTTTCCGGACCTTAAATTTTTTGTTTAGAATAAATTCTCTAAACATTTATTTAGTTTATAATGTTTATTCTTTCTGTATTTTATATGGCAAGGTTTTGTCTTCCTGACCAGATTGAGATCCCAGTGGGAACAGACCATAATTTATTTCCTTACTCTATATGCTTTGTTACTGTATCCTTAAGTGCTTAATATAATTGTGGGAGATTGATTTATGTGACAGTTGATCACTTATGTTAAAGCCTTATTAAGATTAAAATTATTCCCCTTTCAGACTCCAAAAAACAAAGCTACAATCTTCAAGTTATGCAGCATCTGCCTCTACCTGCCACAGGAACAGCTTACCCACTGGGCAGTTGGCACCATAGAGGACCACCTCCATCCTTATATGCCAGAATAGAGTGCTGACCAGCAAAATGGACAAGATCACAGAGTGCAGCAGCATTTTCTTTTCTTGTTTTTTTACACTTTATTCTTTCAGAGTTTAAAGAAAATGGACTCATGCACAGAATACTATGCATTTTGAAACTTGTTCATCCTGGATTTTTTTTTTTTTTTTAATTATTTGTGTCTCAGAACTTAAAAAATTAGGTATCTTCTGCACGGACTGTGTGAAAGAAGATGCTTTGCATATTTGCTGCACTGCATCAGCATCTTACTAAAATGTGAAATGAAAGGACTATTGTACACTGAAATGCTTAAATGTATCTGAAAGCACAAGGTGATACTCATTTTTGATGGTCTTTCCATTTGTGCTGGTTTTTGCCTCTTTGACATCTGTCCTCAGTATTTAGAGGGTGAGAAGTGATGGTAAAAGGTATAAATAACATTTTAAAAAACTTAGCTTTGCTGTAATCACAGTCGTTCCAGAGCACTGTCCGATTCTTTCTAATGACCAGAAGTGGTTGTTTAAAAAAAATAAGTATAGATGCACAACCATGGGAAAGAAATCTGTAAAAAAAAAAAAAAAAGAAAGCATCTCATTGTAGGCATTCTTGCCTCATGTTTTACTGGGCCATGTTTGTTTCCTGGTACTCATAAATGTGTGTATTTTATTTCCAGATCTCTTTCCCCAAGTTGCTGTTACAAGAGTATTCTGCTGAATGTGGATACAGTTGATGCACATTGAGGCAGGTCTGGAGTCTGAAGTAGCTAAAGCAGCTATGAAAGTGAGAAACACACATTCATAGCTGCAGACACCGTGATAGGTAGAGGACTTTCCTTTTTTTGGTTTTCTTGTTTTAAAGAGGAGGTTTTTTATTACAAAGAAAATCCAGTGAATTGTGCAGAAATACTGGTTTCTACACCATCCTAAAGGAAAACTTATGAGGGTTTTTTGGAGTAGAAAAAAGTTACTAAAGTTGGGATCTTAAATTGTTTAAAAACCATTGCGTGTCAAAGCTCTAAAAGCAGAACTCATATTGTGCAATGAACGTTAAGGAAAGACTACTGTATAGTTTTTTTGGTTTGTTTTTTTTCTTTTTAATGAAGAAAAGCTTTGCTTAAGGGTTGCATACTTTTATGGAGTAAATCTGAATGATCCTACTCCTTTGGAGTAAAACTTAGTGCTTACTGGTTTCCAATTGTATTTAGCTTCTGGTTGGAATTTGAAAAAATGAAAACCTAAATAAAATAGGTGAAAGTTCCCTGACTATTCAGGTGAATACACAAAACTTGAAGTGGTAACTTTTTTTTTCCCAAGTCAACGGGTAGGTGTTATTGATGACCTTGGGGGTTATTTTAGAGTCCATAGTTAAATGGCAAATTCAGAAGGACAGAAGTGGCAGGTGGGTTTGTAATTTCAGGACTAAGAATCAAAGACATTTTGTCAGCTTTAACAGTTAGTGGGTTGGCCTTGTTCCTTGCCTCACTGAAGAGAAAATTAGATTTTAAAGTAGGCTCCACACCCAACACGGGGCTCGAACTCATGACCCCAAAATCAAGAATCACAGGCTTCACCGACTGAACCAGCTAGGAGCCCTAGAAAAAATTATTCTCTATTTCAAAAGACTCTCACATGTTTTCTCAATTGAAAATTAGAATCTGTTTGAAGTAGTGTCTCTGAATGTTTATTATGGGCAGGTCCTGTTCAAAGCTCTGTTCTTAACAACAGTGTGTGGAAAGAGCCACAGAGGTTTAGTAACTTGCCCAAGCTCACATCCAGGGTAGGGAAGGATTTAGGACAGGCGGGCTGGCTCTGTAGAATGCAGGCTTTTAACTGTTCTACTCTATTGACTTATACATGCTGTAAGTCAGGCACTTAAGCAGCCCTTGGTTTTTAAGTTTTTTAGAATAAATTTAGAAAAGATGTAATAGAAAGCTCCTGTATAACCTTTACCCAAGTCTTAGCCACATTTTTTCCGCACTGTTTTTCTACATATATTTATACATTGCTTCTGAATCATTTGAGAATTTGGTACATACATCATGCATACATCTTTGCTCCTTACCCTCTAGTACTTAGCATATGTCCCAAGTACAAGGATATTCTTGCATAACCACAGTAAAGTTATAAAATTCAGGTAGTTTAATTCTGATGTACCTTTATCTGTTGTCCATGTTCCAGTTCTGTTAATTGTCCTAATACCCCCAGGTCGTATCATTCACTATGGGACCCTTGCAGTTAGCTGTCAAATCTCTAATGTTTGTTTAATGACCTTGACATTTTTGAAGAGTAGGCTAATGTTTTAAAATAGAAAGTGTTCCTCATTTTGCATTTGAATGTTTCTTCAGGGTTAAATTTGGGATTACGCAGTCTGGCCAGTACCCAATTCAAGTGACCTCACTCCCTTCTCCACTTAATATCCAGAAATGCACTGTCACTTTGCTCTTGGTTGATGTTAATTTTGATTGGTCAAGGTCGTGTCCTGTTTCTGCATTGTATAGTTACTACTTTTCTCCTTGTGACTAGAAGGAATCTGGGCAACAACATGGACATGCCCTGCTCTTTTTCAGGAGCACCACTGATGATTTTTGATTTTTGCTGTAACCAGTCTTTACCATGATAGCTGCAAAATCGTAAGTATCTACCCCTCCCCTCCACATTGAGCAGCATTCTGTCATAAGGAGGAGCTCTCCTGTCTCTGCCACATATTATCTACCTAAATGATACTTCCTTTGGTTACAATTACAAATTACAAAAAAATTTTTTTCCTTTAATGCTCAGTTTGTTTTCTTGAACACATGCTTACTTTCAAGCACAAGATACGTTAAGGTCAATTTCCCTATCTCATCCTCCCAGTCCTGAAATCAGCTATTTTCTCCAAGCCGCCCAGGTTCCTTTTAGAGGGAAATACTAGAAGTTAAGAACTGGGTGTCCACCTTGTGTGCTCACTGCTCCTGGGAAGTCTACTCTGTCCTTTGAGCAGACAGCAGCATGACAAAAGAAAAGTCAGCCTTTAACTGTGGATAGTGTTTCCAAGTTCAAGTTGCTTCCTATATTTCTACCGGGCTTTAGTTTTAAAGTAATCTCATCTCAAAATGGCTTTGCTGTCGTCTTTGCTTTACCTAAGTTTTCAGAAACCATTTCAGCTAAGAATTTTTTTTTTGTCCGAGTATCATGTATATAAGATTACAAATAAACCAAAGAGGTTTAAAATGAAAAATAGAGACCGTCCCATCCTAGGTTCCACTTGGTTCCTATGTCATTTTCCCCAAAGAAAAGAACTATTTCTGGTTGTGCTAATTTATTTTGAAAGTTACATTTGTTACAAGTCAGCTTTACACTTGGTCTTCATTGTTTGGTGTCTTTGAAGTCAGCCTGCAGGCCTTGATTTCCCAGGTGTTTGGTGTGTCTGCCTTGTGCCACTAGTTTCCCCGTGGTCTTGTTCATCAGCTCCACAGAGGCAAATGCAAGTGTTTTGCCTTGCTTCAGAACGTGCGCCGTTATCACGATGTCTTCTCCTATTTTAGCAGGCGACATGTACCTTGAAGGGAAACAAATTTAAATATAGTTAACAGCAAATAATTTTTTACTTTTTGAATTTTAAAAAATTTTTAGCAGCAATTTTTTATGAGGGGAAGTTGTGTGCATCTCTTACACAGCCTTCTTATGTGTTATTTTCCTCTTCCAAGTAGTTTAGGAATAGTATCAGTAAGCCTTCTGTCCTATCAAATTTGGATGGCTGGTCCTGACCAAATTCATCTTCCCCATTCCATATCCACACAATTTTCTTTTTCCATAAATAGGGAAGGCACCCCCCCGGCCAAGTTTCCCATCTCATATTTATTTGGGGCTGGTGAAAGATTTTCTCCAGCTTTTATTTAGTCTACTTAACTTCCCCAGGTGAAGTATTGCCTGGGCCCTGTACTGTAGGTTCCCCCTTACCTGTGGTCCAGAAGGAAGCAGATGGTCCTCCTGATCTATTGTCAGAAGGTCAACAGTAACCTAACACTGCACCCCTGCCTGTCTGTCTCCTCACTTCATCACGTGGGCATTGCATGTCCCGTCCTCACTAGAAGGCTGTGCACAGTACAAGGGAGTTTGAGAGACCGCACTCATACAGCATCACAGTATATAACGCTTGTTCTATTTTATTATCGTTAATCTGTGCCTGGCTTATAAACATAGGTATGTATGTATAGGGAAGAACATATATATGTATATGTTTTGTATATATATTATATAAATATATATAATAGGTTTGGTACTATCTGTGGTTTTGGGCATCCACGGGGGTCTTGGAATGTAGCCCTGTGGGTAAGAAGGGGACTACTGTATCTCGTCATATCCGTATTTAGGATTCACTCAACTGTACTGGAGTAAATTCTGCACTTTACTGCACTCAAAAACGATTGAATGTAAGAACTATGAGAATTGATAGAGGCCCTTAAACCCTGGTGATGAGTTGTATGTATTTTTTAAGAGACACTTCCCTACCTACCTTAATCGTAAGTTGTCACTCATTTACTTTGGAAATATCAAGAGTAAATCTCTGAGACTGTTTCCCCATTCAAATGAGCCCATTTTTGAAGCTCAGGCAGTTCTTGACTGTGACCCGTATCTGACCACACGTACGTGGGAACTGTGTGTGACTTACTACAAATTCTTCAGGCTCGCGAGAGCAGCAGTAGATCTCAGAAGATCGTGAGGTGCCATGCTCAGCTGGGAGACCTCAGCGCTCAACAGAGGCTCCTGAGGCAAAGTAGAGTCTGCAGCGGGCCTCACCCCTCACCACCACAGGGACCACGGTAAGGACTGCAGACCGAGCTCACCTGCACAGCAAGCAGAACCTTTGCAGATCTTAGTTTCAAGAGCATTTTCCTCTTGCCCTGTGATCTGCTTGTTGCACCTCAATTTATTCCTATGGTAAAGAAGGGCTGAATTTTCTTAAGGTAGCCTGGTGAAAGGCTGAGATTGTATAAAACTCTCATAACTGATGTTATTTCCGTTGCCCTCATGTTGTGTAACACTGGCTTTCCCACCCTGATCCTGCCCTCCCCCACCCCAACAAAAGTCATTGTTCCGTTGTGTCCGTGGAAAAAGCAGTTGTCTTGAAAGTGAAGCCCTGGGCCTATGCCCTCTATTGATGGGACCAGCAGTGGTACTAGTTAATGCTCAAAATGGGTTTTTTACACTTGAAAACAGGTGACCCCTGCAGGCATTTTCAGGGTGGTGAGTGAAAGCCTGGCCTCTGGGGGCCTGCTTCCCAATCTCCTACTTTATGTCTGCAGTAGCGTTGGCGGTTGCAAGGAAGACACAGGATTGCAAAACTGGACATTTGTGTTCGCCTTGTTACAAGGCAGTGGCAATGTATACCTGATGAAAGTTTATCCAGCTTCCCTTTGAATTTTATTCAGGCTTTTTTCTAGGCACTCAATACAACCCTCATGACGCCTGTACAAGTGGCAGTTGCAAGGCAGTTGTGGAACACTTCTAGGCCGTCAGTCTGTGATGCCCCACCCCCACCCCGCCCCTCCGGTATACAGAATAGGAGCTGAGTGTTTGCTGTTCGCAATGTTTAGGTCATGACCCCTTTATTCCTGATGCGGCAGTGAGCTCCTCTAGTTCTAGATTCTACGGCTGTGGGATCTTTCAGGGCACCTCTATAGCTACATTTCAGGGTGACCAGCTCAGGGCACCTCCAATATTATTTATGTTATAAAGGTATTTAGTCTCAGCTGTTTGAAGTGAGTTTTCCCATTTAAAAAAGTTACTTGTAGTACCGTCTGGATACGTACGTTATGTTCATATCCACACTAACTCCCGGCGCTCCCCTCTCAGTGCACAGCAGAGCCATTGTTGATATGTTATCCACTAAGGTGGCTGTCATACCACCGTGCAGAGTGCCTAATCTGTTGGTGTGGGCGTCTTCTACTTTCATTTCACAAATCACTTTCCCAGGGACAGCAGAGACAAGAGTCACCTAAGTGTAAAAAAAAAATTTTTTTTCAACATTCTTTGGTATTAAGAAACCCAAACAGCCCATGAAGAATTATCATTGGATTAAACGGAGTCACTCCAGGGGCGCCTGGCGCGTCTCTTGATCTCTTGGGGTTTTAAGTTCAAGCCCCATGCTGGGTATAGAAATTGCTTAAAAATAAAATCTTAAATCATCCCAAAAAAGTTAATTAGAAATTCAAGTAAGTTACAAATATCTCTGATAGACATTAACCCATATAGAAATTGTTCTTAAAGAAAAAGGAATACTGGGATGCCTGGATGGCTCAGTCATTGAGCATCTGCCTTCAGCTCAGGTCATGATCACAGGGTCCTGGGACTGAGCCCTGCATTGGGGGCTCCCTGCTCAGCAGGAAGCCTGCTTCTCCTTCTCCCACTCCCCCTGCTGTGTTCCCTCTCTCACTGTACTTCTCTCTGTCAAATAAATAAAATCTTAAAAAAAAAAAAAAGACAAAAAGGAATATTTAGGGAAAGAGTAGTTCTGGTTAATCTCTACTCTGCAGAAATAGAGCTTTTCAGCCTTGCGTGTGACAGCCTGGCATCTCAATGTTACCACAGAAATTTTGGACCCACAAAGCTGGCGGGTCCCTGTGATCTATTAACCCATGATAGGTTTAACTTGGATGTTCCCTAGTTTTTGCAGAGAGTAATTTTTATAATGATTTTGTAATGAATGGTTTTAACAATTTAAAAAACAGACTGGAAGAAATTCAGTAATTCATTGAGTTACTAGGATCAACAAACTTACACCATAAACCCATTTTAATATAAGAAGCTCAACAATAGAATCCGACAGAGTTGAACTGCAGCTTTCAGGGTCCTGCCCATTTATAGTATTGTAAGGAAAAAGAATTACATGAGTGTCTCGAGCATTAAATGGTTCGATTCTACCTGCTACCTCAGCATCTTCCTACGCTAGGTGCTGAGCCAGGCCCTAACGTACGCTACACAATAAGGAAGGCATAATTTCCATCTCGTAAGTAACTTAAAGTCAGGGTGGTGTGTTGTCGGGGTCACCTATGGTGTGGCAGAACTGACTGAGCTCTAGGTCTGTCTTCGAGTCTCCCTCAGCAGTAACTGAAGCGTCTGGATACGCAGTGTTCTCTAGGCTCCCACCAGGAAGACACCTGAGAGTTTCACAAGCCACAACTTCAGCGGTTTTGCTGTGGTTTATCCCCCAGAAGTAGGCCCTGCAGTAAAACAGAACAGAGCCATACAATATAAGTCATCCTGAACAATTTTATGTCCTGTTTTGCTTAACAGGTACATCAGTGCCAAGTAAATACTAGAACAGGATCAAGTGTATTCATACAACGAATGATCTAACCACAAGATGTCCTCATAAACTAATGGACAGATCAAGCAGGACCAAGGTGTAAGCTCCCTGTACTTGGGCACTGACTGAGTACGGCAAGCGCTGGCCATGTGAGGATGAATGAAATCCAGTCCCTGCTCGTCAGGGCCTCACAACCGGAAGGGAGAGGCGAGTACACGGAGCAGGGACTTCCTAGAGACAACAGATCCAAGTCACTAGAAGGGTTTCTAAGGGAAGTAGGTCTTCAGAGAACAGACATTAGGAAGGGCTTCTTGGGGAACGGCAACCGAATCGTGACAGACTGACAAGAGTGAGTCAAGTGAAAATGGGGAAGGCCCCCAGGCAGGGCAGGGGAGAGAACTAAATCGAGCCCCACAGACACCAGAGGTAGTTTGGTGCCATGTAAGCGTGGGGTGTGTTTAGTAGAGGTTAAAGTCCCATTGGATTCTCTGACTTCAGCTGGGATGGATGACAGGAGGTAATACAAATGTTGACTTTCCACTGCAGAATACAGTTTTTAATTCTTTTTCTTTCTCCCAACTTGAAAGGCCAAAGGACACACAAGTATACAAGAGTCGTTTAAAATATACATTGGAAGAGAGAGCGTTTTGACAGCCTGACATTGCAAGAGAAATGCTTTTATGTGTGGCTGTTTCTCATCTCCCTAGATGAAGGGATTCAGCCAGTGGGAGCTAACAAAGGAAATGTCCTAGTCAACCGCCCAAAGCTAGTGGGGAAGAAGCCAATGGAGAGCTGACCTCTGTTTGATGAAGAATGGGGGTATGAGTAGAACACTGTTAAAACAAAAAAAACCCCCTCAGTTTCCATTAAGATATGGGCTGTAGGGGATACAGTTGTTTAAAGGTCATTAACTATGGCCGACTTGGAGTTAGGGACTGCATTCAGCGGCCCTGCGTGCGCAGTCTCCATCCTCACCTCTCAGACGTGCACACTTGGATCCTCCTTCAACTCCGACATCTCCGATTTAACCCCTGTGCAAAATCACCTCCCTTCACACCTCGCCTGGGCTGCTGCAGACAACTAGGTCCTGCTCCGTTCGGTGTCTTGTGGGAGGATGTCTGGAAAGCCTCTTGTGATGCAGTGGGGTCAGGAATAAATTTGCTGTGGCCCCAATAATACAGAGAACTAACTGCCCAGATGCTTGCATTCCCGGGATCGCACGGGTCGGGCAGCTGCAGGAGGCTGGAAGAACCTCGATGGCTCGGCCCAGTCTGACGCACGGACTCCGTGGTTTATCGTAGAAATTGGGTATGTGCACATACAATCATCTGTCCCTTTTCTATATGGCTTGCAGTGAACTGTGTTTTTCCCGTTCCTCGTGCAGTCAGGTGAGTCTGTGGGACTCGTGCGGCATGGCGCCCTCCTCTCCTCGCCCGAACACCTAAATGCCGTCACACGGAACGTACCTGAGGTGAGCGTCTCCCCCTTCCTCCCTCACCTTTTCAGTAAAGACAGAAGGGGTGCCCAGAACCAACAGCAGTGAAGGAGATGGTCCCTAGCAGGAGGTCTGAATGTGCCTGGCACAGAGTAGGTGCCCAAATGTTTGCTCAGGGAGTACGTTCCCACCCGAAGGGAACGACGGGGGCAGTCCGTGACAAAATGCACCACGCTGAGCGGCACCAGCGCCTGACTAACCGGGCTGCAGCGAGGAGTCTGCTCTAGGAAGAGCCACCCTGCTGGGCCCCTGGCGGGAGGCACGGACAGAAGCTTCCCGAGCCTCTACTACGGACTTGCCCCCAAGCAGCACTCCATGCCGACAGGGAAGTAGGAACAGAGAAAGACCGAGCGATGCTGGGGACAGGCGGAGGGGCCAGACTAAGACGTCCAAGTCCTCAGGAAGGTGGCGAACCAGCCCAGCTTGTAAGAGCAGGCCAGAAATAAGCGACGTTAGCAAACGACTGCCACGAGAGGCACAACGAAGCCCAAGGAAGAGCTAAGTGGACGTGAATGAAACAGTGAATGCAATTTAGCCCGCGGAAGTAACATCAGTTCCCTGGAGTGGTGGGGACAGTGACCAATGGGCTGTGAAGGAACGGGAACTACCACTAGTTTCTCACAATGGCTGGTAAGTGGCAGGTTTTACTGAATCATTCTAAAATAACCTATAAATACAGACACTATAAAGGCCTCACGTTAGTAAGCTTTCTGCCCTATACGTGTTCTCTGCCGCCTTGAGCCTGGAAAAGGGGCTAATGGAGAGGGACCATCCCTATCCCATATACATTGAGGACTGGGGCAATGTCTGTTCACATCTCCTGATCTCCTCTCCAGGGGGGACATACAAATTCCGTAGAATTGTTGCACGTGATCTAGTTTGGAATCTAGCATTTGAATATGGAGCCATTTGCAGGAAGGGATGGTGCCTTGCAGGTAAGTAAATATGGTGAGTCAAGGCCCAGCACACAGCTTCGTTGTCCTATGACAGTGCCGTGAATCAAACAGCAACAAAGAAGTTTTAAGTAACCTCTCTCCACTGAGGAACAGCATTCCAGAAATTCCTGCAAGTCCTAGACTGGTTGAGCAAATATTATACTGCCTTTCTTTTTTATAGTGTTCTGTGCTGAATTTTAAAAATATATATATTTAACTTCTATCAAAGCTCTCAGAATCACTTTCTGAGATCTTCAGAAAACAGAGGACTTGAATAAAAGGGCTTCTTAGACAAGTGGCAGAACATTTCAGCAGCACGCCATTTCCAAGTGTGCACGGAGTACTAAACCTTGACTATCTTCCATGGTGGAAGAAATGTAAATTCACCATTTCCTTCAACTGGGCCTCCATTCACCACTGCTAAAAGTACTAATGTTCCAGAATATTTATAGTTGCTCTGAAATGATGCCAAATCCCTTTCCCCTATAGTATCAGCAACTTCTGACTTGAGTCCATAATTTCACCAATTATATCTTGACTCCTTAAATCTTAGCATCTAAACCGCCATGTTCCTTCTCTTCATTAGATTTTTAATGACAACAATCATTCATTTTATATGAATTCATTATAATAAACAGTGTAGGGTTGCATTTCCTACCTACCATTCCTTCATTACTCTCTATCATTCACTATCATTCTCCAGGCCTATTCAAACATATATACATATATAGGGTTTCCCCCCTTTCTTTTTATAAAATTACAAAAACGGGATCACATTCTACATATTACTTTGCAGCTTCCGTTTTTTTCTTCCTAGTAAATCACAGCCATGCCTGTAGTTCCAGTCACAGAACTCTCTTAATGGCTTTGTGCTATGCCCTACTATTGAATATATTAGATTTATTAAACTCTTGCTTGACATGTGTGTTCTTGCCATATTTTTTACCATTACAAAGTTACTTTTATTTGTAGAAGATCGATCACCAGAATTAGACAGCTGGGTAAAAGGTATGTAAATTTTTAACAAATCTGCCAGATTCCTTTTCAAAAGCAGTAAGAGTACTTCATTCCCTAATTCCTCATCAATAATGTATATTATTACTCTGAGTTACTCTTTTTACAATGTGATAGGCAAAATAATATGTTATCTCACAGTTTAAATGTGTATTAGCCAGATTACGAGCCAGGAAGCGTGCTTAGTGCCTGACTTTCATGCTTACTGGCTGACTCCATCTCTCGTGTAAACAGCCTGCTGATAC